GGCTAGGGGTTTCTTGTTGGCTGGATTGATGCCGTGACGAGTTACAGCAGTAGTAGTACGTTTGCCGTCGATCGTGTTATAAAATTCCTATCATATTCTATTAGCAAGAGGACACCAGATAGTTAACTCATATCCCGCCAAATATCTGCTTACTTTGAAGTCCATTCTTGGATACTCTGCTGAACCCATGTTTGCTGGTGTAAAGTGTTCTGATATAACCCACTAACACTATTGTATTTTGTTCTTGCAGGATGAAATCTCAAAGATCCTTTGACACGGGGATGCCCGGGAGCAACTTACTATTTATTTATCAGCAGCGGGGGAACTTGGAAGGATGGCTGTGGAGTTGAACCGCAGATACATGGGACAGCCCTCGTTATCTCTCGGGAACTTTGGCTTGGTAACTAGTTAATGCAGCCTGGGACGTAGTACAGCATAAATGACAACGACCTCGACAAGGGGGACTCGCTCGGAAGATCCGCTCTTGAAGGAAACGATTTACACGTTAAACACCATATATTTGTTGGGTTCATTGATTTCCTTGACTAACTAGTCTCAACTAGGTTGAAAAGTTTGACGCTTACCAATCAATGTACGACTAACAACGGCCGACATCTACCTGTTTAGGTTGATTAATGCATCGATATACTTCTTTGCATCAAGCCCAACTCCTTCGACGAGTCCTCCGGGCGTCCCGGACCACCCTTCCAGTTCTCTTCCGAACCGACCTCCAATACTTCGAAGGAATCCTGGCCCGCTTTGGCTTCGGATGTGTCCTCTGCCCGACTGTTTGAAATCACTTGCTTTTCTCACAAGGAACGCTACATTAGCAGTGGACTCGCAATGCCCTTCTCTTGACATGTGGCTTTCGAGATGTCTCGAGGATATTCCAGCTGTAGCTTGCGATTGTGCATCGCTCGAGCCGCTCTTCTCGCTGTTGCTAGAGGTCGCATGCGGGCTGCGGAGGTCCGGTGGTGTAGGTAAACGCATCCAAAGGACCCACCAACCACGGTTCGTTTTACATATTCTTTCCAGCTCGGATGATTGGGGCTTGGTCTCCAAGTAGGTATTGATTATCTGGGCGTACACATTGAGAGCATCTGCACGACTCCAAGGAGGTAAGTGACTGATATCCCTCGGGTTGTTATACGCTCTAATCTGGTCTGATGGTATTTCCGGTTCTGGGATGTTTGGTAGTGAGGTTCGGATGGTCCGATGGAACGGCTCATAGATGATATCGTAAAGGGTTTCTTCGGAGGAAGATTTACCTTGACCCCTGGCGAACTGGTGGAGGTCGTAGCGGGAGAGCCTCTCTACTATTTTTGAAGGCGACGTAGAAGAAAGCAGGGGTTTCTGTAGTGGCCCGATTTGATGGTGGATAGTTCGATAGAAGCTAGCGGATGAAAGGGCCTTTGTGCCACACTCAAACAAAAAGGTGAACATGAATGGTTGGTACTAATAATATCGTCAGCATACACACATTTTTCCCTTTCTGGAGGCAGTTCCGATTATACCAGGTATATGACGACTTGCAGTGACTTGGGAACAAGTGTAGGGGAGGAGTCTATGCAAACCGTTAGTCATCACATATTTCTTGTGAGGTAATGGAAACGCTTCATACCTTCATGGAGTGACGAAGATTGCACCGTCACCTCTAGCTTTCGTACAATAATCTTACTGGATGTAAGCTGTTTAGTAGATTCAACTATCGAATTTTCCTCCTCTATGTTTTCACTGTCACTTTCTTCATTTTCAAGGTCATCACGGAGGCCTATTAGGAATCTACCAGTGGATTCCACCGCCCGGCCGGATTGTCTTTGATGTGGATTAGATGGCAGATTTTTTGGTGTACTTTGTGGCTGGTCGGAATTAGTACCAGTGTTCAAGGATGGGCTATCTGAAGTGGCCCCCCATGCGGATCCATATCCTAAGGTAATGATATTGAGAATGTTTTCCGTCCCGAAGGTGGACGAATCTGCAGCTTTGTCACTTGGTGCTTTCGGGGACTTAAAACCAGTTTCTGAGCCCTTGGGTTTCGCCGAAGTGACAACTAAGGGAGGAGGGATCCGTGGAGAAAATTCGGTAGGCTGGATCGATGGCTCATGATGTGGTTTCACTGGAACTGGGCTGGTATTTGCTTCCAACTGGGAGTTCTTGGGTCGCTTTTCTTTGCGTCTTTGCTTTCTCTTCCGGCGGTGAGTCGATTTAGGGTCACCACGTACTCCATAAGCGTCTTCACCATATCTATACACCCATTCCATCCACTGAGAGACGTGTGTTAAAGATTCCCGTGACAATGCCCCGATTCCAGAAAATATGACACCGTCTTGCGGACCAGGCGACATCATACAGCCAATCCACTCTTGTTTATAAGACTTTGTAGGCTCCTTTTTGGAAGGTGTCTCCTCTCTTGAGGGATTCTCGGCATCACCAAACCTTGAGACTACCATATCAACCAAACCTTCTGTCCTCGAGATGAACCCTTCTAGAACCTCTCGTTCACCGCTCCCCCATTCCTCTTCACCGACTCCTATTCCAAGCTCTCCGCCTCCAGCTAGCTTGGTGGCAGAAAAGAGATCTATTGCTGGGTTGCCATTGAGCAAAACATCCCAACTCCACACAAACCGTGTCCAATATCGGTCAAGATAGATGCAGAAGGTTTTCCTTGATATGGTTTTGTAAAGACTTGCCAGAGAACTGCCATGATGTAGCAAGAATATGGAATACGCCTTCGAGAGTTGTTGGCTAAGGAGATATGGAGATGATAGTTCTCTCGAAGAGTATTCAACCTGGATATCATTTGAGGTCTCTTCTCTGGATCTTGTCGACCCTTTTTGGGTATGTATTATTTTTGTCAAGTCAATACTCTATTAGATGCATTAGGACTATTGACTAGATCGAGGTTGATTTTAAAGATATTCTTACTGCTAGAATCCACCAACCGGGCTCCAACTCTTTCAAAACAATTCGAGAGTTTTCAGTCTCTATTGAGTCGACGGGCTCTCCGCTTGAGAAGTTTCTGCATATTATTTGGTTAGCGAGCCTCGACTGCCTTTAATTCTCATGATCTCTCGTTACGCACTTGGCGAAGCTCACCATGCCTTGCGCAAGCCCTACATGGCGTAGTCTTTTATTCTCTTCCTCAGAGGAGTCTGCGCTCGCCGTATCCCTTTCGGGCACATCTCTTGGTAGCTTTGTTTGACTCGGAGTTGAGTAGTAGAACAGAATCTGGTCCTGAAGGGTCTCATCCGTGGTCCCGAGCGACGGGTTGTATATGGTCAGGAACGAGAGCTGTGCTGGTATTATAGATGGTGGTTTAAGCGGAGGCATTTCACATGGTGGTATCACTCTGTCCCTGGTCTACCTGCCCTCGTTGCACTCGAAATGAGAAGCCTCTCTCTGATATTTGCAGCTTGCTCGTCTTTCCATCAACTGCTCTGATGTCATTTAAGCACTATCACGTGATATCTTCGCTGCCCAGCGCCGAGCTAACTAACTATTATTATTAGCTTTCAAGCTTCAACGACGAAGTGTTGACCCATCATTCTTTCATTCATTCTCAGGCGCCGTCATTGGGGAGATGCTATACTCCGTGAGGCCAAGGGGCCTCGTTCTGCGCACATTAAGGTTCAATTACTTCTTTTCATGCCGGCATTACTCCTCGGCGAAGGCCTGCGATCCTCTTCGAATACTTTTCTGCGGCTCCGATGAGTTTAGTATAGCATCTTTGAAAGCGCTCTACAATGAACGCGCAGAAAGTCCAGACACAATTGCATCTATTGATGTAGTATGTCGACCCGGCAAGCCTGTTGGCCGTGCTATGAAAACAATTCGCGAGGGTATGTTACTCTGTTTACAGAAATGATATAAATACTAATATTGAGTCGTGGTACCTCCTAGTGCCTATCAAAGCCGCCGCAAACGAACTTTCCCTCCCAATACACGAGTTAGATACATTTACCAAATGGGAGGTATGATCATATGAACTCTTCTATGGCTGTCCTGCTCTAATCTGCGACCGCAGCCGCCAAAACCACAGGGTGAACCTATCAATCTAATAATAGCCGTCTCGTTTGGACTCTTTATCCCTTCTAGAATACTGAAAGGAGCGAAATATGGAGGACTCAATGTTCATCCTTCACTCTTACCAGAGTAAGCGCATCTCCACATCTCTGTACGCTCCTAGCTAATCAATGTATTAGTTTTAGAGGAGCCGCTCCTCTTCACCACACTCTACTGGCGGGGGACAAAGCCACTGGGGTCACTTTGCAGACGCTTGATTCTGCTAAATTTGATCATGGTTTAATCCTAGATCAGACACCTGCGCCGGGATTCCCAATACCCGACCCTGACTCTTGCGATCTCCCCCGGCTGCTTAAGTTAGCGTCAACCAGGGGAGCAGAAATGCTTATAAACGGGATTAGGAACCGTCTATTTGTTCCTCCGTTAAACCCTATAATCAAGCAAACGACTTCGGATGAAAGAGAACTAAGGCCTGCTAGTAAGATCAAACCTGAGAACCGCCATGTTGCTTGGAACTCCTGGAATTGGGATACAATTCGGCGTCACCAGATTGTGCTGGGTGCTCTATGGAATACCGCCGCGACATCGCCTACAATACCGGGAGAAGAACATCTAGTGCAGCGGAAAAGGGTAATTTTCGGGAACATGAAGCTAGCTGATAGTACACGGCGAACTGATGGCATACCTTTCACTAAACCTGGGGTTCCGTTTACCTTCAAAGATCCGGTCAATAAGAGGGATGAAGGACGGCTATTTGTGTTTACAAGTGATGGGAAACTTCTTGAAATAGAAGAAATGAAAGTTGAAGGTGACAGGATGGCTCCTGCATACCGAGCTGCATTAAAGGCTAAACTTGTTGACCCGGTAGCAGCAAGGACTTCAATGCACAGCGTGTTCCACGGTCCTCTTCTATAAAAGGTATTGCTGGATCAAGCCTTTTCCACGCTTGGCATCCATCTAGCCGCATCCATCAGATTTTATCTGATATGGAACCCAGAATCTATATCCAAGATTATTAGCCTTTTTCCTTAAGGTTGGAAATACTTCTAGAAACTTACCAAGTTGGATTTCTTGTCCGGTCATGGAATAGTTTTTAGCAATGGAGACGAAAACATCCGCGCAATCCTCAATATCAGGCTAAAGATTGGCTATTTAGCTCCAGTATCTTGCGAGGGAGGCTATGACCTTACCACTCTCTTTAAGGCCGCCTTCTCAGCATAGCCCTTTTGTACTTCAGGAGGGAATCTTTGCCCCTGCTCAGATCCGTCAGCGCTCTGTGATCTAAGCAAATCAAATTTTTCGAACTAACCCATTCCGTGAGCAGTAGACCTGGAAGCACTGCGTTGGTACGGATTTTCGAACTCTGGGACGAAGCCAGGCCCTTCATTAGATGGATACCTGCATACTTGTTAGTAAATACGGCATAATGTATAGAAACGGTTCATATATACATACTTGCGGCCTTACTAACAGAGTAAGCCATACTACTGCCACCAGGGGTGGCTCCCTAGTTATGAGTTAGCCATGTTTATGGATGACTGGGCAGACCCTATTTACGGCAACTGAGGACGTGATAATAAATGCCCCTCCTTCTGGATTAGCGTTGAAAGTTGGCTCTGCTTCGCGGAAGAGATGCAGGTTTGCTTTCACGTTGGTGTTCCAGCACTGGTTTTTCACATATATCAGCAACCAATATATTCGATCTCTTCACGCATCACGGATGCATACCTTGTCCCATTCATCATCCGTTAGGGCGTTCAAGTCTCCAAACCGAGAAAGTTTAGTCCATCCCTAAGGAGTTGGATATCAGAAAAGCGAATTCTACTACAATGGGGATAACAGTTCGTTGTCTCACAGCGTTAGAGACGATAACGTCGATTCCTCCCAGGAGCTCAATGGTTTTCTTAACTAAATTCTCACAATCCGCCCGGAGGGCCACATCCTGCGTATTAATCAATTAATGGCTGCTCTGCTTAGTGGAATATATGCATAAACTGGTATATTTTAATCATCTTTTGCTTACTCCTTGAATGGCGATGGCTTTAACCTTGTGGTCCGCCTCTATCTTTGCAGCAAGCTCCGTTGCTTGTGCCTCACTTGAATAGTAATTGATAGCCACGTTTGAGCCCTCGGCAGCAAACTTCTCTGCAACCATGGCTCCCAGGCCGCTGCAGCAGCGAGGTCAACTTTGTGTTATGTACGTACGTGGGGTCGGGAAGGAGAGAAAGCGTTGCTCACCGAGAGCCACCAGTGACCAGCACATTACGCCCCTTAAGACTGTATGGCATGTTGATGGATTCCACCGTGAAAGCACTCGGTTACTGGACTATTGAGACTTTTGATATATATACATACATATATATATATGAGTCAATGAGATGATAGAAGGGCCGTAGAGGGGCGGACGGACAGCCTGAGGTCTGATATTGGCTGTCAGCCGAGGCTCTGGGTGGCCCTATGTTTGAATACGAGCTACGGAGTACATAACAGCAGGGGACGACTTCAGCTCGAGGGACATGTATGGACAGCATGGAAGTTGCATGGGTGCCTGACGTGACTTGATGTGTCAGAGTACATGATAATTTGGAATTGTATATATAGCGCAGAACTCAGCAGCACCACACTGCCTGCCTAACAAGACAGTGAAATACAAGGAACAGGAACTCAATTGAGGACGATAGGAAACGTCTTTCATTTCGTTAAGGGCTGATTTTGCCCACTTTCCTCATTTCAACATGAAGGTAAAGAAAAATAATCAGGCTTGGATCGAAAAAAAGGTCTTGTATTTTAGAGAAATCCTCCATAACTTCATAACCTAGCATGATGCTCCGTCGACTCCATATTTTCCCATTTCATTTAAGTAAGCTTCTGCTTAATGAAGAAGCTTCGTAGATGAGAGAATTGCCAGACACACGTTACACCGAGGACGGCGGTTTGAATCAGAGCCCATCGAACGACGCGAGAGTTGGTAGCTTCAGACTGGTCTCTGAACTGGGCTTCTCGTTCCTATTGACATCGAAGAAGATACATGTCAGTCAAAATGCCCTCTGATTTTCTACTTTTGCCTCGTTCGTATGGACTTACACGCTGGAAGACCTGTTCGCGACGTATGTCTTGGAGTCTTCCGTTCAAGTTCCTGACTCTCTCAACCAAATCGTCAAGCTTGCTCTTGTCTTCAGACTCCAAGTGGTTGGACTCGCCGATAGCCATGTCAAGGGTTAACTTCACCGGGCCAGAAGCTCCAGAAAGCCATCCGCTATTGGCATGCGAGTCTGCGGTGAAGCATAGCTTGTGCTGTCCCGCATCAGCGGTGGAAAAGGTGTACCGTCCCTTATCAGCTCCCTTCTGAGACACAACCCGGTGGTCGTTATCAAAGACTTCATCGACAGTGATAGTGATGGTTATACTACTGTCAGGGGCATAGGCGTTGAGATGAGGGTTGTAGACTTCGGACTGGTAATTTCCTTTCCTCGAGAGTTAGAAACCACTGTACTCAAAAGTGACTGCAAAAGGCTCCAACTAACCGACTACCAAAGTGTCCTTGGGCAATTCCTCGTAGAAGCACTTGGGCTGTCGTCCATGGACGTAGAAGTATAGGGAGTGAACAGGAGCAGAGAGCATCAGGAGAGTGACTATGGAGAAGAACGTCGACAGCCACGACGGCTGCGACCTTGACAAAGCCATCCTGTCCGGATATTCCTTAACAAGAGGTACGATCGAATGCAACACTGCAGTCAGCCTATCTTGCTCTAGACTCGCTGTCTGAATGCGAAGCGCTGCGGATAGATTTGACGGTGTTTTTGCATCTCGAGGATGAAGGACACGCTTACCTGGCCCTGAGCTGGCCAATCAGCGTGCGCCCTCGCGACCAGCTAAAAAAAACCACTTTCGCCGCGCCAGCAGCCAACCTGGTCAAGAACAAACCAACAACCAACGGAACCGACTCCGACAAAACTCGCGCCGCAGACGCCTTACGACCTCATATCCAGCTGTTTTCCTGGCTAGAACAAGAGAGAGAGAGAGAGAGGAGGGAGGAAGAA